AAAAAAAATTAAATCTCATATCAAATTAAAATTTGTAGATTAATTCATAGTTGTCTTGGCTTACAATGCTAACTATAGTCACAATAAATGTATTGCTAGGTCACTAACCCTACACTTATGTAGGTGATTGTGATTGTTTTTAATGATTATTTTTTCTTGCAATGATGTGATGATTGCTTGATAAATTGTATGTTAGGATGATTATCTGTATGTATTCTTGACGTTAGGTTAACTATTTTAGTAGTTATAGCATATTTTTTGACTATGGTTGTGCTTCACGAGACAATTGTTAACTGAGTTGGTGACTTAAGCAATAAACATAAACAATAAAGCATATGGAGCATGGACAAATTATCAAGTTTTTCATGGGTATGATTCAATCCCTATAAGAATGTGTTTGAATATGTATCCTAAATATACATAATAAGGTTGTGGCTGAGATTCAGAATGAATCTCTCGTGATAAATCTCTTCTACAATGAATAAATTCTTCACAATAAATATTAAGCCTTCTTTCAAATGACACTAAAAAAGTGAATGATGTGAACACTCTAACCAGTGATATTGAAACACACATGTTCAAAGCTTGTTTGAAAATAAAAATGACAAAGTAATGCTCACGAATTATTTATGGGGAGGCAAATAACAGAGTCACAATTTTTAGAGAAGGCATAAGATTTACAATAATTCTGTTGAATAACGTATGTTCACAATGAAGAGAGAAGTATAAAAAATATGTGATATTAAAAAGTGGCATTTACATACATAGCACACATTCTATGTATTTACATATCTCACACCTATGCTTTCATATTTACACACAAAACACTCAAACCTTAATTCCACATAAAAAATAACGCTATTACAACTGTTTAAAAGTGAAATACATCTTTTCATGCATATGTTTAAAGTACCAAATAATTATGTGCTACCTATATAAATTTTCTTATAAAAAAAGGGTCTTCAAATGAAGTTATAATATTTTTGCTTTGTACGTGTCTAACAACTCCAATACTATGCTCATTTCCTTGACCAATGATTTAAGAACTCAAAGAAATTCATAATGTTGTGACATACATAGAATCAATTCATGTAGAAAAGCAGTAATGTAGAGTTAGAGATTAGCAGTACATAGTAAGTTTTTTCACAGAGATTGTGATATTGTATTTATTTAGGCGATCCAGTTTAGATTCCAAGCTAAATCAACATAATGAATTGGTAAAAATGATTCGGTAAATATGCTAGAGGCAAATTCTTTGCATTGAAATTAATGAAAAATTAGATCAAAGTGTTGAGAAATCAATAAATAAATAATATTTTGGCTTACAAGTTAAAAATGTGGTGCCCTAAATATAAGTGTCAAAATTCTCATGACATTTTAATCATCATTGTGAAACATTGATAAGATGCTTTAAGCTCAATGCTAATGACAATTAATGGCTTGGAAACAAGTGTATGTGGGAGAGCTTGGGATGTTACCATCATGGTGGGATTTGAGAGAAACTAAGAACCATCAAGTAAAATCCTTCAAGAAAAAATACTTGTAAAATCACTTCTAAGAGTTAATCTAAGAGATTGGATAAGATTTGAGAGGTTCATATATCCACTAATTAAGCAAACATCAAAAATAAAAATTTATTCAATATTTGAATATATTTTTAATGATACACTTATAGTCTTATTCTATCATAAAATTGTTTATTTTCAGTGTACATTTTTATGTTTTTTTTTGATCTGGGATGCATCACATTTGTGTTAAATAGAAGCTTTTTCAAGTGATTGTAATGCTAAGAATAGAATAGTATAAAATTGTCCACTTTGAGGGTCATTTACTTTTCTTCTATCTATTGATACAAATGAGCATGCAAACCTAAGAGCATTATCTTTTCAATATTTCATTATATTATTAATTGCGGCATGCCTTAGCGGTCAAGAAACTCTGGTGCTATTATATAGAGGGGAAGACATTGGCGAGTTATGCCAGGGCTCCCGTGTTTTCATTTTTTCTCTAGCTTCTCAGTAGTAAGCCAGGTCTCCTCGATCTCCCCCCTTCTACCTCTTATATGATCGCTCTTCCATTAGATTAGGGTTAGCTCTCTCTCCTTCAGACTCATAGCTGTTTAGCTTTTACCGGCATACCATGGCCTCGGCGACCTCGTTCTTCTCCATGGGTGATAAGGAAAGAGGTGGAGACGAGGGAAATATTGTGATAAAGGTTCGTTTTTTTCATCGTTTCTCCTCTAATTAATTTGAGTGCTTCCATTACCAATCATGGCATCATCACCAACCTGTCCGTGGCCTGTTGTTATATTTAGGTTTTTATCTGATGTCGTTCAGTGTTGTCGTGCTGGACAGTGATATTATCGTTTTCATGTATATGATTTCAGAAAAAAAAAAAGAAGCGAATTTTGAAGTTTGAATATCTGATTTAATTTTGTCTCGGGTTGTTGAAGTAAACTGAACAGTATCAATTTTTATGCATTTCAGATGGCTGATAGGGTTTTGTTCACCTTGTTTTTCTGCAAATGTTTTTTAAGCTTTATTTAATCTCATTTTCATGGTCACAAGGAGTTCTTCAATTGTATTAACTTTGATGTTTTAAAATAGCTTATGCAGCGTTTTTATGTTCTTGCAATATTTTCTGAAGAATTTGCACATAGTTATACTTATCAGTTTCTATGGTTCATGGACAGCTTAGCTGAACTGCTAATGATGATAAATAGGTGAGATGATCAGGCAGCTTGTTAGCAGGGCTATAATAACTGTCATAGTTATGTTATTAAAATTTATTTATGATAATAAAATTGATGGATCGTGTGAGGGTGTACTTTGTAATAGAAACACATAACATGTAATTGCGTGGATATCATTGTTTATGCAGATGAATGTTGTTTAACTTCGCAAATTGACTAGGTGAGGTTCAGTAACATCTTGATAGATGCAATTCTTAATATTATAGTTAGACTGAGAAGTAGTTTTTGGACTCTTATCCATCATGGAAATGACTCATAAGGCCCCAAATCTTAATTCAAAGAATGAAATGCATACCCATGGGTGTAAAAAGTCTATCTGCACATTAGGAACTAAATTATCCGAATAAGTAAATGATGTATCTTGTATTGTCTAATCCTATTCGTTATCTTTGAAGAAATCCTAGTAAGGTTGTTGAGCTCCTGCTTTGTGTTTTGGGACTTTCCTTTTTTTTATGTGGAGCCATGTTTTTGAAGATATTTGAGGCTGCCTTTGCAATGCATCGAGACAAATTTGTGTGTGCAGAGTATGATTGCTGCTACAATGAACTTGAATTGCTAGCAAGGAAGATATTATGAGGTCTTCTTTGGAGTGTATAAACTTTGTTGATGGTCATTATTAAGCTTTCTAGAAAAGACCTCTTGTCATCGTGTATATTCATGGTGGCAATAGTTTCATTATTTGCTATAAGCATGGAGGGAAAGTCTGTCTATGGTTAAACATCTAAATGATCCAAGGGATCTAGCTTGTTTAGATTATTTTGCGGCCTTTTATCCCAACTTTGAAGAAATCCTAATGATGTTAGTAAACTTTCTCATTGGGTGTGGGACCTTTTTCTGCCAAGCTATGTACTTACAGATATTGGTGGTGGCATTTGGATAGTATTGTGACAAATTTATATGTAGAATATGAGTTATCACTGCTATGGACTTGTATGGCTTGCAAGGAAGCTTCACAATATCTAAGAATTCTTGCTAGGGATTATTACTTTCTCTCATTTGGTTCATTCATGAAACCTATTATACTTCTTTTTGGTCGCATTAACTGCCTTTTGCTTTCCTTAATTATGTTGACCCTTGATGATGTTAGTTATCTTTGGTATTCATTATTTCTTAATCACCTTCCAATTTTTCTCATCTTAACATTGTCCTTTTAATGTTGATTTGTTGAGTAGCTTATCCCCTTGAGTAGCATGCCCTCTTTAGTAGCTATTATAGGTCATATGTCTAGATAAGAGATGCTAAGAATTGATGTTCAGTTGATAGGCAATGATAAACTCATGTCAAAATTTGTGAAATGATACAAATTTGGATTTTTTTGGTAGTTCCATAGTAGTGATTCATCTGAATTTAACTAATTGTGGTGAGAAATAGGCAATGGTTTGCTAGGATTCAAACTCAATGTGATTTTTACATTTATAATTTTCAAATCTATATCTCATAAAAATTTACCAATATCACTAAATTTTAAAAAGTGAGATATGCCTTTTCATGCATGGGTAAAGTGGTATGAAATATTAATGTAAAAATTAAAGTTTAGGTGTTAGATATATAAATACATGGGCATGCATGTAATAAGTCTTCCTAAATTTTTTAGTACGCCACAAGATCATCAGGGAAGTCTTATGCACCTTGAGGGATGTTGACCCATTCTGGGTCATGTTCAAATCAAATTTGACTCTTAAATAATCTCGATTTAGTTTTGAGCAAGTTGGCACTTGTTCGGGCCTTTGATGCCATGTTCATGTCCTACATGATCCATTTATTAGATGCATTATTCTTTAATAGTTTGTGTAAAAACACTTAAGAGTCCGTTTGGGGTGCTTGCAACTATCTGTAAAAGTTGATACAATTTTTGCGGGATTTTTATTTTATTTTAAGCTTCTTTGGATACTATAATCTTTTTTCATTTTTAAAAATTAGATTATAATTTTCTAACTACTATTATACCTGTAGATGTGAAAAGTTGCTCCTGACTACAACAAATTATGAAAAATAGTAAGAAAGTTATAGCTAAATAAATATATGGTATTTTAATAGAAAGAAAAGATGTAAACAAAATGTTTTCAAATGGAGCCTATCGAGAAATTAAACAACGAAAGGAATTTACCAAAGGAAGTTTTGCCTCATACTGGTATAAGGATATGAATTTTGGAATAAATTATTGCTCTTGATGCTACATTTGAAGGATGTACACATCTAAGATTAAAATTGAAATGAGAAATTGATTGCTAAGTTTTCAAATCATATGCCTTAGATTGTCAATCTGTTAAAATCAGCTGTATTTGCGATAAAAATTCTCAAAAACAACCAGATTTATCCAAAAACCTTTGGTTATTCAATCTTAGAATTTTTTTCAAAAACATTCATAGTAATTGACTGTGATAAGCAAAATTGCAAGTTTCATATTTGCCAACCTGTAACAAAAGAAGCTACTGCCCCTTTGTGGATAGCAATAAATAAAGCCTAATATCTATTGCCCGTATACCCATTAATTCCAAACTCTATGGCCCTTATACACTAGCCACTGAATTCGAAACTGTCAAAAAACCCAAATTCTCAAGAAATAGGAATATCGGAACTGCAACAACACATGCCCCTGTAAGCACATATAAGGCAACTAACAAACTCCAAAACAATTGGTTTTCAACTGAGAATAGTTACATTCATTATAGCCTGAGCATTAGGCTATAACAAATAAACTAACCTAATAAAACCTAGTACTAAGAAGCTATCTAACTGGATGTCATTCTTGTAAGTAATCCCGTTGGCATGTTCCAATTTTTTTTTGAAAATTATAAAATGAATTAGAATAAATCAATACAACATTGACAACAACAATAACAAGCCTTTATCCCACAAGTGGGGTTGGCTACATGAATCCTTTTTCTCCATTGCATCCTTTTGATTGTCATATCTTTATTTAATTCTAATATATTGAGATCATTTTTTTGTACAATATGGCCCAAGTCCTTTTAATGTCTTCATCTGACTTTCTTAACATAAGTCGAATCTAAGATATCCCCTAATTGGCTCATCAAAAGCATTTAATGTGACCAACCATCTAAGAAGAGACTCTCTTTAATCTTATTCGCCGTTGAAGCTTCACCAACCTGATCATAGATATATTCATTTTTCATTTTCTCTCAAGTGTCAAGCCACTCATCCACCCAAGTATTCTCATCTCAGCAACACTTAACTTTGTTTTGTGTTTCTCTTTTTATGGCCAACATTCTGCGCCGCTAGAGCATTCCAGGTTTCATCACCATCTTATAAAATTTTTATTTCAGTCTAAATGGTACTTTTCTATAACACAATAGGCTCAAATGCATTTCTCCACTTCAACCAATTAGAATTCTACTAACACAATAGGCTCAAATGCATTTCTCCACTTCAACCAATTAGAATTCTACTAATAACATCCCCATCTATATCACAATCACTTTGGATTATAGACCCGAGATATCTAAAATGTTCACACCTTTTAATGATTTGATCACCCATATTTACAACTTGACCACTGTAGCTACTACTGCTAAAATTACATTCCATGTTTTCAGTTTTAGTTCTTCTCAAACGAAGGCCTTTAGACTCCAATGTTGACCTCGATAATTCAAGTTTTCCTGAAGTCTTTCTCTAGCCTTTTCCATAAGAAGGATATTATCATCGAAAAGCATACACCAAGGTACATCTTCTTGTAAATTTATAGTAAGAGCATCCATAACTAAAGCAAAAAGATAGGGTCTTAAAGCCAATCCCTGATGTAATCCAACTGAAATAGGAAAATTGTTGGTCAATCCTTCTTTGTTGTTGGTCAATCCTTCTTTGAATATGAATAACATCCCTAGTATGAATATCTTTATTGACTTGAATTCAAGTCATATCGATACCTTTCTTCTTTAGAACTCTCTAAATGACTTCTCTTTGAACCTTATTGTGAGCTTCTTCGTAATAAAAATTTTATTATCCTCCTTGTTCTCTCTGTACTTCTCCAACCAACATCTCAGTAAATATATAGCTTCCATGGTAGACCTATCAGGCATAAATCCAAACTGATTATGAGAAATCGTTGTATGATGTCTTAACCTATGTTGAATTACTCTCTTTGATAATTTTAAAGTATGACATATTAATTTAATTCCTCTATAATTTGCAAACTTTTGTGCATGCCCTTTATTCTTAAAAAAATGGGGACCAAAATACTCTTCCTCCATTTCTGAGGCATTTTAGTTTTTAAAAATTTTTTGTGTTTAAAATAATATTAAAGAGTTTAGTAAGCCAATAAACTCTCAAATCTCCTAGTGTTTGATGTGATTCTTTTGACAAGAATAAATATATAAGTTTTTATCAAATGTACTAGTTTTGGATAAATCCATCTCCTATGAATTTATAATTTATTCTTATTAAATAAATCAAAATTTAATTTTTTTATTGTATAATAATTTTGAGTCGTCGCAAGAACGTG